CGCCCCTGGCCCCGCCCTTGGGCCGCGCACGTGCCGCCGGCCATGACTTGCACCCCCCCCTTCTTGGACGCCCCCCTCTTTGGCCGCTCCCGATTCCAAGAGCACTGCTTCTGTCGGGCCGGACGAATGGGGGGGATTGGGAACGGGGAGGTTACGAAATTTGCTGCATGCAGCTGGTTTCGGCCCCGCCGAAGGGCCCATTCCTCGATGCATGGGCGCCTCCCGGCGCCGGGAGGCGCCGGGAGAATCAGCTGCGAGAGCTGATATTCTCACCCCCCCCCTTTGCCATCCCCCCCTTGCGCCCGACCCGAAGCACTGAATGCTCATTTTGAACAGGACTCGATGTCCACGCCGCCGCGGACTCGATGTCCCCCCCTTGCGCCCGACCCGAGATTCCAAGAGCACTGCTTCTGCCCCCGGAAGGGCGCGGCGCCGACGCCGGGGAGCCGGGCGCGGCGGGCCGCGCAGAGCCCCGCGCACGCCGCGGCGGCGGGGCCCGGCCGCGGGGCCCGCCGCGCGCCCTGGGCCGCGGAGGAGATCCCCGGCCCTGGAAGTCGGGCACGTCCCTCCACGTTTCCTCCTCCTCCTCCTCCTCCTCCTCCTCCTCCTCCTCCTCCTCCTCCCCTCCTCCCCCCTCCCCCTCCTCCTCCTCCCCTCCTCCTCCTCCTCCTCCTCCTCCTCCTCCTCCTCCTCCTCCTCCTCCTCCTCCTCCCTCCTACTCCTACATTTCCTCCTCCTCCTCCTCCTCCTGCCTCCTCCTACTCCTACATTTCCTCCTCCTCCTCCTCCTCCTCCTCCTCCTCCTCCTCCTCAAGCAGCGCTGGGCCGAAAAGGCGTGCAAATTGGCCCCAACGCACCAAGTGAACTCTAAAACTCCAGTCGGGCCACGTCCCTCCACAGGATGCGAGGAGGAGGAGGGGGGATCTGGGAGGGGGTCCTGATCTGGGAGGGGGGCCTGATCCGGGAGGGGGTCCTGATGCGAGAGCGGTTTCGGAGGGGGCCTTGGGAGGGGGGGTCCTGATGTGGGAGGGGGTCCTCCCCCCTCCCGCACGCCGGCCCATTCGCCTCGCAGTGCCCCTGCATCGCTGCCACGCTGGAGCGGATTGCCCCGCCTCGCCGCCGACGAACAGAAATGATTTGGGAGTGGGCTTGCTGTGAGCTGTCTTGGAGGGTTCCAATGGATCCGGGCGAAAGGCCGCCCTCTTTCATGGCCTGTTGTGGAGGGGGACGAGGATATTACAATGCTGTTGACGGTGACGTCCCGATCAGCCTGTGGCGAAACACACAGAAGGAAAACGATTCCAGGCAAACGACTGCCCATAACAGCACAAGGCCGGTTTCGCCAGCATCTCCGAAATTATTGACCATCATCCACAAACACGCGCGAAGTTTGACGAACGACGATTCTATCGAGATGCTTGTACATGAATTCGATGACGTTGAGTGGGATATATGGCTATAAACGAAACCTGGCGGACTGAGCCCCAGGAGATGTGGACTACAAAGCATGGCAACCGTTTATTTGCAGCATCCGGACACGCCGACGCATTACGAGGCGTCGAATCTCTCGTTCTCCAGCGACACGCCCAACACGCGAAGTGCTTCTCACCCATTAACGAGCGCGTCGCTTACATCGACCTTGACCTCCCCGAGCAGTTTCTGAGAATCGTCACGGCGTATTCCCCTCACTCGGGTTGTGCAGACTCTCACATCCAGCGCATGTATGACCAGCTGACGGCATTACACTGACGCCGCCCGAGAAAAACGGAAATATATTGTCACAGGGGACTTCAATGCACAAGTGGGCAGGCATCGGTTCCACGACGACGACGACCGACCAGGGAGTAAGAGTCGGAGAGACACTGTCGGCAAATTCGGAATGGGCACATGCAACCCACGTGGGACATGGCTGCGAGCTTGGTCCAACGCGCAAGAGCTCATCATCGCGAATCCATTCTTCCACAAACATCACCGCAGCTTTTTTTGGTTTCCTTTTACAAGTAGCAGCAAGGACTGGATTCAGACACAACTCGATTACATTATCATAGACAGGGCGTGTCGCCACCGAGTGCTCGACTCGTTCGCTTCCAACGTCCCGGACCTTGGCTCTGATCACCAAGCTGTGTACGCGAAGCTCGACTTGATCGCAACAAAGACAAAGGAAAGAAAACGGACGCACACACGAAGTAGCACACGCTCCCATCCGAGACACAACGACTCGCTCTACCAACAGTGCTTGCAACAACACCTGGGGAACCAGAGCCACGGCACAGACTTCGACAACACATACAATCCAATTGGAGATGGGCTCAAGCTTGCTCAAAAGGAATATCAGCAGCACCACTAGCAGTCATCTGAAGACCACGTGGACGACTCCGACAACAGCCCAAATGCACGGCTCAAATCATTAACCCAACAACGACGAACCACCGCCCCAGGGAATACAGTTCAGAGAGGAAAACCATCAGCAAACAATTCTACGAAACATCAGGGCGATTAAGCGCATCACGATGAACGCCAAGCTCGACGAAATTGTTTGCCATTTCGAATGCTTGAAGAACATCGCCGGGCTCAAGACGAGCAAGCAGAGAGACATGATCGTAGCAATGAAGAGTTCTGATGGCAGCGAGGAGACCGACAGACAAAGCATAGCAGACGTCTTCGCGACCTTGTACAAAGAGCTATACAAGGACCCTTGCAACGCAGACAGCCCAGACAACGCCTCGACAACAGCGCAATGTGACTCAACAGTCCCACCTCTCACAGCGAAGGAACTCCACCAAGCAATCCAACAGCTCAAAGACGGCAAGTGCAAGGACACCGCGGGACTTACAGCAGAATTACTCAAAGCTGGTGGGGCCAGCATAAGAGAGCGCCTCCTGCGACTCTACAGCGACATCATCAAGCCAGGCCAGGCACCCCCAGAACAATGGAAGCGCACAACTAGCACAGTCATCCACAAGTCGAGAGACCCGAAAATCCCAGGCAATTACCGACCGATTGCCATTATACCAGTGCTTTACACGCTGTTGTCTCGTCTCCTTTGTAACCGGCTCGGCGCTTTCTTCGACTCGCAGCAGTGCCCTGACCAAGCAGGTTTTCGCAGAAACTATTGTACGGAATATCACCTCTTCACCGCAACAATGTTACACGAAACGTTGTATGAGTGGCAGCTCCCGTTTTGGGCAGCGGCACTAGACTTCAAGAAGGCTTTCGACTGCGTCAACCATGAATCGTTGTGGGCCGCTTTACGGCAGCAGCATATCCCACCTGCCTACACCAACTTCATGCCGCAGCTGCACCGCGACCGATGTGGGACAGTTAAGACGGACACCAGCAGCAGCCCTTTCAGCATCGAGCGGGGCGTAAAGCAGGGAGACCCACTCAGCCCCTTCCTCTTCAACGCCGTCCTCGAGCACGTGTTCAGACGAGTGAAACCTTCTTGGTTGCGAAACAAGTTTGGGATCCAACTCGGGTTCGCACCACAGACGCGCATTACAAACCTGCGCTTCGCTGACGACGTGCTGCTCTGCCCCCAACTTACGCCAACTCCATTGCTTTCTTCGAGACGTCAACGACGAAGCAGCAAAGTGTGGTTTATTATTGCATCCATGCAAAACGAAAATTCTGACAAATGTTTGCCGGTGGGAGGGGGGGACAATCGATCATGTTATCATTGACGGTGGACGGGTCGACATTTTGCGGTCTGACCAAAACGCAAACTAGTTGGGGAGCAAGCTGACGTTCTACAATTTCCATGACGCAGAACTACGCAGCATAATCGCAGCTGGTTGGGGCCGCTTCAACCAACTGAGATACGAATTGACAAACAAACGTTTCCCACTACACAGCAGGATGAACTTATTCACAAAAAAAAACTCAGACTCATCATGGGCGTGCCGCGACGTCGCAACGCATGCCAACAGAACGCTCACGGCGGACGTGGGAACAACCAGACTACGACCGACAGCATGACAACAAATGGCGAGGACCCATCACGCAGCACGGTGGACGACGAATGGAAAGACGGATTGGAACTGTGGGCAGAAAACATGCGCAGGGCAACCCGGACAGCCACAGAGTACGCCAAGCGTTCACGTGTAGTATCATGGGCCACGACTTACCTCACACGGAAATGGAGATGGGCATCGCGAGTTGCGACGCACGACCGCGGCAGGTGGACTTTCTTATCTAGCAATTGGGAACCAAGCTGCCACGACCATCGATCAGCACACCGACGTCATGGAGGCCAAAAGAAGCGCTGGGACGACGACATCACCCAATTCCTCCGCACCACAGGCGCAACACAACACAACGACGCCCACAACGACAGCAGACAATGGTTATGAATCGCAGCGAACTGGCACGCGTGGAGGGTTTTGGGATATCAGTTCTTGGCCCACAAGCAATTTTTACGGCTTGACATGACAGATTCTTTCCTCAATTCCTCAATGTCGTCTCCTATGCCATGCCTCCGACGTCTCCGACTCCCGCTCCCATGCTGCCGACTCCAGCACTAGTCTCTGCCCCTTCTACGATCCAGTTCTGTAAGACCCGACTCCAGCATCTGAGCGGGGATGAATGCTTCTCGGCGTTCTGGCGCCACCGCCGGGCTCTCGTAGGGCCGCCCCCCCCCGGGGCGACGCACAGGCGCCTCGCCTCGCCTCGCCTCGTCTGGGAGGGTTGTGACCCCCTCCATTTTGCAGTGGGGGTCCATGCCAAGAAACACCCTGCTTGCCAGGGTGCCCTGGGTTTCTTGGGTGCCGATGGTTTTGCCATGGAGGGCGTGGCGTTCCCACACCTAAAATCGATGGACGTCCTGGGGTTTCGGGTTTGGGTTTCTTGTGGAAGGTTTGTTGTGTACTGGCCCCTACTGCCTTCGATAGTGGTTGAAAATAGTCAGGGGACGGTTTTTCGCTGCTTCACTGCTAATTTCTGGAATCTTTGTTTTTTCTCATGTAAACAAATCCGCCTGTGAGGGACATGTTCGATCTCACCCCAGGCTGTGGAGGAGCCCCAGCCCGAGCCGCCCGAAGAGCCGCCGATCGCCCCGCAGAAGGCCCTCAACGCGCGCTTCGCGCGCGCGCGGCTTCAGCTTCGCGCGGCTTCGCGGGCGCACGGGCCTGATCGTGAGGGGGCGGGCCTCTCTCTTCACACCCCTGGACCGTGCGGCTTCGCAGGCGCACGGGCCGCCACAGAGGGCGAGGACACCACGCAGGCGCGGCGGGATGGCGTGGAGCCCAGCGCGTACGAGTTTTCGATGATGATGCTTGCGTGCACCAGGGACGGCTGTGCGGGCACGGCGTTGAAGCTCTTCAACACGATCCTTGAGCAGGGCGCCGATTCCGACTACAATGTCAAGAACCTGCGCTTCGCCACACGCAGCAGGTTCTTCACTCTCGTTGCGGAGCATCTAGATGACGAGCGTCTGAGGAAGGACGGGCTGCAGGTTCTGGAGGCGGTCCGGGCCCACGGGATCCCGCCGCCGCTCGCCCTCCAAGACCGCCTGGTGTGCGCCTGGGGAAGCAGGCTCCCCGAGCAGGTCCTGAGCTACTTCGCCAGGATGCAGGAGCAGGGCCTGACGCTGAGCTCGGCCATGCGCCAGTGCACAGCAGCCGACGCCACGGCCTCGACGAGTGAAGGTAGGCGGCTCGCACGAGGGGGTGTCGCGAGGAGGCTGGCTTTCTAAGAATGCGGGGGGGCCTCTTGAGAAGCCCTCCTAGATGCTAAGAAGCCTTCTTGGAAGCCTCCAGGCGCTTCCAAGAAGTCCGCTGCCCTCTAAGAACCCCTCCGCCGTCTTAGAAGGCCCCCTTCCCCTCGTGCCGCCCCCTGGTGCGCGCCGCTAAGAAGGCGGGACGACGTGCCACTCCTCGACGGACTCCACGATCGGCCAGGACGACGCGGCTGGCGACGTCGAGGAGACGTCCGCAGAGGAGGAGCCCCGAGACCCGCGGACTGCCGCCGAGCGCACGCCCCTGCGCAGGGAGGCATCGACGTCCGTCCCGACAGCCACTGAGGGTCAGTGTCGGATGCCGCCTGCGGCGCCGGCGTGGTGCCGTTTGGACGCTCCGGGCCAGTGCGCTCAGCTCCCGCAGATTGCAGCGCAGCGTGTGGGAGGTCAGCGCGACGAGTGCACCACGGTGATGCTGCGCAATCTGCCCTGCCCCTTCCTCCGCGAAGATCTGATCAAGGTGATGGACGCAAAGGGCTTCGCGGGGTCATATGATTTCGTCCACATGCCCATTGATTTACGGACTGACGCCAAACCCGCCGATCCATTGATATGTCTGAGACTGCGGTTGGCCGCTACTGCAGTTGGCCACTGCAGGCTTTGGCTGAGGGCAACGGGGAGCAGTAGCGTAGACAAAAAGGGCCGAAAACGAGGGGAGAGTGAAAGGAAGGGTGAGAAGCATGAGGAAGATGATATGCAGGGTGAAGGGAGAGGGAGAAAGGGAGAGAGAGAGAGAGAGAGAGAAAACGAGAGAGAGCGAGACGCCGAAAGCGGACGAAGCTTCGTCCCACCGCCGCGACCGCTAGTGCCGCAGGCTGAGCACTGACGGCCAGGGCGGGCAGCAGCGAGGGTCCCAGGCCACCTCGGCACGCGTGGGAGGTGCGCGACAGAGAGAGAGAGAGAGAGAGAACAAGACGCCCCAGCCACGACGCAGCGCGCAGGACTTAGGGGCCGCAGAACAACCTCGGGGCTCAAGAGACCGGGTCAATGCCAACGGGGGTCAGTCAGAGCGCCGGACCTTGCAGGATCTTGCAGGAGCCAGGGCTGCATTGACCCGGGTTCAGGTGCATGATCCTGCAGGATTTTGCGGGGTTCTTCAGGATCTTGCAGGGCCGGATTGACCCGGGTCTGGATTGACCCGGGTCAGTAGATCCCCGAGTACTAGGCGGGCGGCTTGGAACTCGCGACGGCGCGCCGTCCCGCTTGGCGGGAAGGCACCCGCGCTGGGTTAGGGGAGTGGAGGGTCGGGGGGAAAGTGTCGGCAGCCCGTTTGGAGAGCAGGCGTTTCCGAAAGTTGCTCTCATTTGTTTGTCAGCATTGCACTGGCGATTCAGCACCATAAACTTTGGTTACGTTGTTCCGTACATGCATAAAACTTGACTTTCCAACTGAGGCTTTGTATTCAGCTGCCTGCGGCAAGTCCCGCCACCGTGCCAGCCCAGCATTCTAGGTGGCGAGTGCTCGAGGGGGTCCTGGAGGCTTTCACGTGCGACGCCTCGTGTCTCCAGGCCTCGGAGAGCTGCGATGAGCACGATGAGGATTACGAGGGTGATGGGGGTGATGACGATGATGGGGGTGATGACGATGATCATGATGCTGATGGCGATGACGAGGATTATGATGGTGATGCTGATGGTGATGAAGATGATTACGTATGCAGGTGATGCTAATTTTGAGGCTGCTGATGATGGTGATGATGATGCTGACGGTGATGATGGTGACGATGATGATAAGGATGATGATGCTGCTGATGATGTTGGCGACGTCGACGATGACGATGACGATGGCGGTGACGATGATGTTGATCAGGATGATGATTCTGGTGATGGTGTATTAATAACGACGCTGGAGACGATGGTGATGATGCTGCTGCTGATGATGATGATGATGATGATGATGATGATGAGTGTAGTGATGATGATGGTGATGGTGATGATGATCGTTTGGTCCGTCTTGGGGTTCTCTTGGCCTCCTCTGAGGCATTCTTGGGGATCCCTTGGGGCCCTCTTGGGCCGTCCTGGGCGCCCTCTTACGCCAGCTGTGTAAGGTGGGCCGGAGGCAAAGGGTTGGACCGATCGTGTTTTCCATACAGTTCCGGGAAATTTCTGGGACAGTTCCGACTTAAGAATAAACTCGTATATCGATGTTCCATTTTTATGTGCGCCATCTGTATTCGGAATCGTATGCATTAATGTGAGCCATCGAGCAACATTATTTCTGATTGCAAATTTCGAATGCGTTTTTGCTGACAAGGCTTTTCCTACTCGTCATGGATTGGTACACGTTAATGAGGAGTTTTGATTTAGGATATATGTTTGCGTGTTCATACACAAATGTTTTGAAACATGCCCGATCTTCACAACGTCGCTTACATTGGTATGCAAAGCCAGTGCATGTCGTTACTTATTCAAAATGTAGCATCAGGTTTTTTTACAGATGACATTTTATTGTTCGTCATCCCATCACATAGGCAACTACTTAGATTTCAATCTTGTATGTAAAAATTTGTTTCTGGTTGGACAAACTGGTTTTCACTCTCAGCATTCTTCACGAAATCGCATACGTCAGTATGAACAAGTAGCGAAGTTATCATTTCAATTCAAAGAGATATTTTCTGTTTTTTACATGCATATGTTTTTGAATCACCATTGCATAATCTAAAGTTGTATGAACAATTGGCAGGGTGTTTTTTTTGCATATTTCTTGGAATTTAATTTCTTAGTGTAGTCTATCTAGAGTTGGTTTGGAACAGCCATCCAACTCGTATTTGTTGTGATGAAAGTAACGACATCTTTAACATATAACTCTTTCTTGCCATCGTTGAACCATATGCCTTCATATGCTGCTGTTGTTTGAATTAGCACTCTTGAACTTCATTCGCGTTCACAAACTCCAATTCATGCAGATGCAAACCAGCAGCAGTAGTATCATATCAAACGAGCAATGTGCGATCATACCCGACATGTGTATTCAAAGGGCAAGTGAGGTTCTTCAACTTCGATGCTCAACATATATTTTGAAAAGCATATTTGTTCGTGTCTGAGCTTTCGCAAAATCATACATTCATATGGGGCGACCACAGCATTACCATGCCAATTTAACATATAACTGCCGCTATTACCAAACTGTGCCATGTGCGTCAGTGTAGACTTTGATCTCATATGAGAACCATTTTCCGTTTTATGCAACTAATATTGTTGGAACACATGCATCTATAAAACATCAGATGCAGCATCTCACGAACACGCAGCAGCCAGGCGCCGCCTTGTGGTATTACAGTGTCGGCATCATTGGCTGTTTTCTTATCTACATGGGTAGAACCGCGATTCGCATTCCCCAAAACAGAAGTATTCTGGTGTTCTGTCATTGAAAAATCGTTATGCGCAATCGGCGTCACATGTTCATATGAAGCCACACGGGAAAATAGCAAGCGCTTCAGGTTCATTAATGTATTCCGAGTGCTTTACAGCAAGGTTTGCCCCCTAGCCGCGTTCCTAACCGCCCGTGGGTTACGTACAATCGTTTGCGACATATTATGTTTACATGATACTGGGAGTGGTACCTGTTGAACAGTTATGCGCCCTCATTATTTACATTAGCGCCGCGAACCAGTGTACTTGCAAGTGGTATTGCGTTTTTGTTGTTGTTGTTGTTTTTTTTTGGATTGTTTTTTTTATTATTGTATATCTAGACCTTAGTGTGGCATCATCATTGATTGGGTCATGTCCACACGCCCGTCGGATTTTCTCATATTATCATGCGCCCCTTTTTGTGGTGAACCTCATGCGTGTGAGCGAGTCCCCGCATCATCTCATGTATATTTTTCGATGTATACATACATACCCACAGGAGACAACACCCGTAGTGTTCCACGTGCAAATATTTAGGCCTGTTTCTGCAACACCGTTATGATATAATCTCCAGAGAACCATGTAAGTCCACATGGAACAATACATTTCACTAGCTCGTCGTTGTTTTAGTATTTCTATATATGTGTGTACACGTAAACGTTTATATACGCGTATATCTACGTATGTAGTTATGTGCATCTGTATACCTCATGTTTGAACATGTCTTTTCTTCTGCATTATCAGATGGCGTCGTGTGAACGCCACGCCAACTTATTGTCTGAACACGATCGAGTGGGATCGTTTTGGTGCATTAAAGAGGTCAGCAAGTAAGGCTCGACATGTGTCACGTAGCCGTGTAATTTCATCCATGGCTACAGGTCGTCGAATTATGCGCCATGTAAACGTATGTTCTGCTGTAGCTGGTCAGCTACCAACTCGGTCCGCATCGTAAGAATTCATATGGGCAGTGACAGACCTTTTGTTGTATTAGGCAAGTGCAAATAGTAATGCCATGTAGCATGGTATTTTTCGCGAAGTTCTACAACTTCAGATGTACTTGCATTGCACTTGCATTGTCTTGGGGCTCTCGTGGGCCGTCTTGGGGCCCCCTTAGCCGCGTGGCGGGTGTCTGAAGGCCGTGGGGCCGTCTCGGGCAGCCGGCAGGGCATCCGAGGCCCTTCTTGGTCACACAGGGGGGTTCCCTTTGGGCAGTGTTGGGAGTTTTCTGCGCGCCCTCGCCTCGAGAGCACACGAAGCGTCGCGGCCTCGAGGGCGCGAGCTTGCCGTATTGCATGGGGGTGTGCGGCCTCGGGGGCGCGAGGCGGTCGCATTTTGCGAAGGATTGGGGCATCCGGGAGGGGGCGATGCGCGCGGGGCAGCGCGGCGGGGGGGGGGAGGAATATGCGCGTGACTTCCGAGACTCTGCCATCTAGCGCGCACCAACGTGCCAGGGGGCACGGTGGCGGATTGTTGACGTTGCAGCCGCCCGCCATCAGCGTGGCTGCGGGGGGGGGTGGGCAAGCGACGTCGAATCGTGCATCCCCCTTTCTCCGCCGCTGTGAGCGCGGCTTTGGGGAGCCCGATGGGCCCTCCTGGGCCCTCGAGGGGCCCTCTTGGCGCCTTCTTGCGTGCCTCTTGGGGCTCCCGAGCCCTGGGAGTGTCCAAGAGGGTAGCTCTTGTGTTTTTCGCGCGGAGAACCTCGCAACATCGAACTATACGTCCCTCCCGCCCCCGCCAACGCGAGCGCAGCTGGGAGGGCCGATTTGACCTCGCCATCCTTGGGGAAGGTGCGCTCTGCGAAGTCGTCGCCACTTTCGAGGGCTGCTGGGTGGGCGGGCCATCGGAGCGGGTGCCGAGCGCAGACCCAGATGCGACCTCGGCACCCCTGGGGGCCTGCGGCCTGCGACGCCGTCGCCACTCTCGAGAGTTGCGGGCACCGAACGCAAAGTGAGTCTATATTCCTCAGCATCCCCTGGCCGTGGCTGCGCTCTGCGGTTGCCACTCTCGGGTGCTGCTTGGAGGGCCACCGTGGCTGGTGCCGGGCGGGCGCAGGCTCAGAGTCGACCTTGCCATCCCTGGGGGGCCTGCGCTCTGCGAGGCTGCCCCCGCTCTCGCGGGCTGCTGGGGCGGGCCGGCACTGTCGGTCGGTGCCGGGTGCGGATTCAGATGGGACCCCGCTTGCGAGCCTGTCGCCGCTTCGGCGGCTGCTCGGAGGGCCATCGTATTCGGTGCTGGGCGCAGACTGAGTTTGGACCTCGCCCTCCCTTGGGGGCTGCGCTCTACGAAAGTAAGGCTCTTTTCGAAGGCTGCTTGGAGGGCCATCGTATCCAGTGCCGGCTATAGACTCATATTGAACCTCGCCGTCCCTGGAGGGCTGCGAACTGCAAAAGTGTCGCCACTTCGAGGGCTGCTTGGAGGGCCAGCAGAGTTTTGAGCTCGCCATCCCTGATGGGGGGGCCTGCGAATTTCGGAACGGTCTCCGCTTTCGAGGGCTGCTTGGAGGGCCAGCACAGTGGGTACCGAGCGCAGACTCAGATTAGGCCTCGCCATCCTTGGTGGCCTGCGCTCTGCGAAACCGTCGCCGCTTTCGACGACTGGTTGGGGGCGGGCAGCGGAGTGACGCCTTCCTGCAGACTCAGATTACGGTCGGTTCGCGTCGCGTCGGCTGGCGCGGGCCCCGCCGCTGGCCTTCAACGTGGAACGCCCCCGGCGACCCAGACTCTGTCGATGCTGAACGATGTGACGCTTTTCTGAAACGGCCTATCGTTCAAGGTGGAGCGGTCCCCGCCGGTGTCGCCCCGTCGTAGATCTCGCCGCCCATCCCTGGGGAGCCTGCGAGCTGCGAGGATTGTCGCCCCTCTCGAGGGCTGCTGGGCTGGGGGGGGGGGAGGGCCGCGCAGAGGCGCCCGCGGCCTCGCGCAGCTCCTGCAGTCTCTGTGACGGACTGTTGGCATGCCTCGGAGCATCGTCCCTCCTCCTCCTCCGCCTCCTCCTCCTCCTCCGCCTCCTCCTCCGCCTCCTCCTCCGCCTCCTCCTCCTCCTCCTCCTCCTCCTGGGCGAAACCCGCCCGAGATGTGCGATGGCGTGGGAGCCGAGGAGCTTTCTCAGCGAGGCTACGCCATGGGCGGAGAAGTCCAGGGGAGTCCAACTGCAGCACTTTTGGAGGCTTCTGTGCGCCCTCTCTTTTCCGTCCCTCTTGTTCGTCTGCCTTTTCTCTCTCCGTCACCATTTCCTGCCGCCATTTCCTCTCGCCGCTGCCTCGCTGGCTGTTCAGTTGCCCATCTGCCTTTTCCCTTTGGTCCTCGCCCTCGTTCTATTCGAGGCAAGGGCGTATCTAATTACCTCCTGCAGGTCCTTGTCTATCGATCGGCGTCCTGCGAGCCGCGCAGCTCGCCAGCTGTCGTTCGCAACCAGTGTAAGTCCTTGCCGCGTTGTCGTCCCGAGGGGATTTTATCCAAAACACTTTGCGCCAGGTTGGTGTACGCCGCGAAGGTAACTTTACCTACTGATATTGTGGCTGGCACGACGGCCGAAAACGTGTTTTTTTGGGCCTCGCGCTGTGGTCGGTGCCTTGGGGATCTACCAGGGCGGTAGCCGTCGAGCGGCGCCCCCCCCTCTCTGCTCCGACTCTGAGGAGAGGCTCCGATGGGGGGGGCATGATGTTTGCTTTCTGACAGCCGCCGCCTTGGCTTAAGGCGCCAGTGCCTGATTTGCACGCGCAGTCGTGCATCCACTGACTGGGTGCTATCAGCGGCGGCATGTGTGTGTGTGTGTGTGTGTGTGTGTGTCTGTGTGTATGTGTGTCTTCTCCTTGCATGGTGGCACAATTCGCTACAACGGCATCCCCGTGTAGTTAGCTCTCCGCCAGCGCAGTTACTCTGCCTAGCCGCCGACGCACAGCAAGTGTGTAGGTGTGTGCGCGTGGGAAAAATCATACCATTCCCACATCCTGCCGCCGCTGACGTCCACTTTTCCTTGATGTCCACCGCCAGACGAGTCTTCGAAGCTTCTTGGATGGCCGCGACGACGTTTCAGAGCCCTCTCGGGACACCTTGGGCGCGCATGGCGCCGTCGGCCCCACCCAATTTTCCACGTTGCTCCAGTCGGCCCCTCCTGGAAGGGATTCCAGGCTGCTTCAACGGGGCCAGGGTAGGTGGAGTCGGACAGTCCCGCTGCATCGCCACATTTCCGATGTATCAGAGATGCTGCGCGAGCCAGAGCAACATATTTCCCATTCGCTCCGTCGCGGCTGCATCGCCGGGTCGTCGACGTTGCGGCGCGATTCTCCGACCCCATTGGCTCCGGTCCCGAGTGGTGGCGTCCTTGGTAATGGGACGCGTATGTATTCCCCACCTCGTCACAGCCAGGGGTCAGCGGATTTCCATACCTTTCTGGGCAGGGGATACGCGATCGTCAACCTGATTTCCGCCGAGGAGATGCAGCGCTTTAAGCTTGCGTTTGAGGGGTTCAAGGCCTGGCCTCTCACGTCCTCGATGGTTTGTGCTGTCGTCCCGTCTCGGACGCAGGGCTTGGAAGCAAACATCGCGCGGTATCGGAGCTCTGTCTTTCGCGACGGGGTCCCTGAGCGGTTCATGCCAATGCTCTTCGACGGGACGCGGCGGGTCCCCTTCCCAGAGCTTCCGGAAAAGCTGCCGAGCTTGTCGCGTGATGTGGGCTTCACGAATTTGGCAATTCAGCAGAAGGAGGGTCGGCGCGACGAACGCACAACGGTGATGCTGCGCAATCTGCCGTGCCCCCTGCTGCGCGAAGATCTGATAAAGCTGATGGACGCGGAGGGCTTTGCGGGGATGTACAACTTCGTCTACGTGCCTGCGGACTCCCGGACAGCCGTGGGAATGGGCTACGCGTTTGTAAATTTGGTTTCCATCGAGGAGGTGCCGCGCTTCACGGCAGCCTTTGAAGGATTCAGGTGTTGGCCTTTTCCGTCCTCGAAGGTCTGCAGCGTCGTCTTGTCTTCTCGGATACAGGGCCTTGAAGCAAACATCGCGCGGTATCGGAACAGCCTTGTCATGGCCGACGAGGTTCCTGAACAGTTTAAGCCAGTGCTATTCAACGGAGCGGAGCGGGTCCCCTTTCCGAAACCCGAGGTGAAAATTTGAGATCACGCTCTACGTGCACTCCGATTGCAAGTGTCGAAGACGTCTATGGCGAACCACCGCCGTCCCCTGCCTTTTGAAAACTCCTGTGTGGCCAAATGTTGAGCCAACGTCTGGCTAGGATATTGGACTATGTGCTCCCACAGCCGTCGTGGAAACCATTTGGAGCACACTTGGGGCAGGAAGATAGAACGGACGATGATGCTGATGATGAAGCTGATGCTGATGATGTTGATGAAGATGATGATGATGCTGCTGATGATGATGATGTTGATGATGATGATGCTGATGATGATTATGATGACGGTGATGATGCTGATGATGCTGTTGATGATGGGGATGGTGATGCTGTCGTTGATGATGCCGATGATGAGGATGATGATGCTGATGAGGATGATGATGCTGATGATGCTGATGATGCTGCTGCTGCTGATGATGATGGTCTGATGGTCTGATGCTGATGCTGATGCTGATGCTGCTGATGATGATGCTGATGATGATGATGAGGATGATGATGAGGACGAGGACGAGGATGAGACGAATGATGATGATGCTGCTGATGATGATGAGCGATGATGATGATGATGATGATGATGTTGCTGCTGCTGCTGATGATGCTGATGCTGATGATGATGCTGATGATGTTGATGATGATGATGAGGATGCTGATGATGAAGATGCTGATGATGCTGCTGCTGCAGCTGATGATGATGATGCTGATGATGATGATGCTGATGATGATGATGATGATGCTGATGATGGAGATGATAATGATGATGATGATGATGATGATGATGATGATGATGATGATGATGATTATGATGATGATGATGATGATGATGATGATGGTGGTGGTGGGTGGTGGTGGTGGTGATGATGATGATGATGATGATGCTGATGATGATGATGATGATGATGATGATGATGATGATGATGATGATGATGATGGTGATGATGATGATGATGATGATGATGATTATGATGATGATGATGATGATGAGGAGGAGGAGGAGGAGGAGGAGGAGGAGGAGGAACCAGAGCCAGAGCCGGATGAGCAGGAGCAGCAGGAGGATCGGGAGATGGAGGGACGGATGACGGATGACGGATGACGGATGACGGGGATGCGGAGGAGGAGGAGGAGGAGGAGGAGGAGGAGGAGGAGGAGGAGGAGGAGGAGGAGGAGGAGGAGGAGGAGGAGGAGGAGGAGGAGGAGGAGGAGGAGGAGGAGGAGGATGTCTCGTGGGCCTTCTTGGGGGCCTTTTGTGGGCCTCTTGGGCAGCTTCGGGGCTCCCTTGGCCCGTCGGACGCCCTCGGGGGCCGCCTCTGAGGCCTGTCTGGGAGGCCGGGGGCCATCCTTCGGCCCTCTCGGGGGCCTCTTGGGCTGTCCTGGGGTCTGGAGCCATCTTCGGGGCCTCTTGGGCTGTCTTGGGGGCCATCTTGGATGTCTTTGTGGCCGTCTTGGGCCGTCGGAAGCCCTCAACTCAGAGCGCTAAGCTCCCTCAAACACTGACTGGAATGACATGCTATCGGCCTCTCGGAGGCCGCCTCGAGAGCCTCATGGAGCCCTGTTCGGCGGTCTTGAGAGCCGCTTGAGTCGTCTTGAGGCCGTCTTGGATTGTTTTGAGGCCTCCTGTGCCATCTTGACCCTCTTTGGCCGTCTTGGAGGTCATCTTGGACTGTCTTGGGTCATCATCGGGCCGTTTTGGGCCATCCTGGGCCATCTTGGAGGCAGGTTGTTTTGATTCTGCAATTTTTCTGGATCGCCAGCGGGTTTGGCCAGAGGCCATTGGGAATCTGTTGGAGGGGCCCAGACGTAGTCGCAAGTCCGGCGCGCCGAAAAAGGCTCCCATCCGCAGAACTGCCTCCGGTTTTCGGTATCCGCGTGAGGCTTCTCAAATAGCCCTGCGGAACGGTCCGGGCCACATCGTACAGCAGCGCGGGGGACCGCCTTCGGATTGGACGCTCTCGGGACAGGCAAATTATAGTTCGTCGGTCTCGTCCTCGTCACTGTCCTCATCATCCTCCCTGTCGCACCCCGAGGCGTGTCGGTAGGGCGGGCTGGGCGTTTCGCCTGAGATTTCCCCACCGTTCATGAGTCAAGTGGCCTGCGCCATTCCGCCGACCCCTCACAGGGAGTGAGTATTTGAGGCGATCGTTGAAGTTATGTCTTGGGTCAGGAGACTCTTGGATACGTAAGAGGGGCTCTTGGGGTGCTTCTCGGGGGCCTGCTGGAGGGCTTTCAGGGGCATCTGGGGGGCCTTCGAGGGCTTCATGGAGGTCTCTTGGGGACGTCTTGGGAGCCGCCTGGACGGGCTTCGTGCGGGCTTCTTGTGATGCCTCTCTGGGGCCTCTTGGAGAACTCTTGGGGGCATCTGGGAGGCTTTTTGGGGCCTCGTGGGGGTCTTGGAGGGGCCTCGGGGGCCTCGGAGGGGCTCCAAGGGCCATCTTGGTGGGAAAGGCTCGACATGTCAGTTCGTATTCCCCCTCTTGGGCTTTCTTGGAGCCCGCTAGGGGCCTTCCAGGGACGATTTTGGCCTCTTGGGGCCCTCGGCGATCCCCTGGAGGCGCTTTTGGGTTGTCTCGGGGGCCCCGTGGCCCATCTTGAAGCCATCTTGGATCGTCGTGGGGCTGCCCTGGGCCGTCGTGACGCTCTCTTCCACTGTCTTGGCGCTCTGCCTGGGCACCGTTTGGCTGTCTTGGGGCTTTTCGCGGGCTCCGGATGCCCTGGAGGTGCTTTGACGAGCTCGTGCCCCCCTTCCCCCCCCCCCCCCCCCCTTGCCCTGGAGGTGCGTTGACGAGCTCGTGCCCCCCTTCCCCCCCCCCCCCCCCTCTAGAACGGCATTTCGAACCCCAGGGGAGTGGGAAAGGGGGAGGGGAACAGCCAAAGGTCTCACACGCCTTTTCACCCCCGGCAAGCGCGGGTCGGCGGATCCTTGAGCTGAACATTGGCAAGAGCTTCACGGAAGGAGAGCGGGCCGTTTTCAACATGCGGTGGTCCTCGCTGCAGCGCCGCGCACATTCGGTGTAACAAACTGCAAGAGTTTCACGGATGGAGGGCGATTTCTTTTCAACAGGTGATTCTTGTTTCAGCGCCGCGCACATTCGTTCAAGATTTTACAACCGTTTCAAGGATTTCAAGCGGGTTTTGGTACGATGTCGGACTGTCAGGGCGCAACAGTTACGTTGATTCGCGGTGTGGACGTCCCATGAATGGTGTTCTGACACGATTCAGGGTCGTCTAGACGCAACACTAATTGTGATTTGCGGCGTTGAAGTCCCAGGAATATTTTTCTGGCACAGTTCAGGATGTTCAAATTGTTGTCGTCCACCGGGGCACTTCCCTCAGTGATATTGAATCCTTGTACGTAGGGGCCTGTAAATAAGGAGCTCGGAGGGAGGCTTTAGTTTTGTATCGTCGACGAGTGTTGGGTTCGCGTAGGTCTCCTACTCATCTCTCTGCTCCTCTCCTCCTCCTCCTCCCCCTCTTCTCCCTCCTCGGCTGTTCGGTGCCTGCCCACGGGCCGTTCCGTGGGAGCAACCGCCCCCCTCCTCAGGATGAAGGAAGGAGCTGGGGGAGGAGGAGGCGGAGGGAGTTGTCAGAGGGAGGAGGAGGGCGGGAGTGAGGGAGGGAGGGAGGGAGGAGGGAGGAGGATTTTTTCCCCCAACCATCTTGTGGTGTTGGGTCCTCGGTTTGAAGAGACGCGCCCGCGCCACTCCTTCTTTGTTCTTTCATCTTCGCGCTCCTCCCTGTTCCCACCCCTGCCTCTGCCCTCCGCATGTGCTCATCATCGTCACCATCATCAGCCCTCATCGTCCTCGTCGTCTTCATCCGTGATGCTTCGGCACGCCCATCACACGTTTCGTGGCCCCCCATAGGGAGTTCCACCTAAGGCGCCAGTGGCCGTCCTTGCATGCGGCTGCCTTGCCCATCTCGGCACACCCCTAGCACTTTTCGTGGCCCCCATAGGGAGTTCCACCCAAGGCGTCAGTGGCCGTCCTCGCATGCTTCCCTGCCCATGACGGCACACCCCTTGCTCGTTTCGTGGCCCCACAGGCAGCTCCACCTAAAGCCTCGGCGGCCGTCCTCGCATGCGGTCCCTGTCCATTCTGCCACACCCCGTGCATGCTTCGTGGCCCCACAGGGAGCTCCTCCTAAGGCGCCAGTGGCCGTCTTCGCATGCGGCTCTCCCGACTATTTCGGCACGCCCCTCCCACGTTTCGTGCCCCCATAGGCAGCTCTCATGCGGTTCCCCGCCCATTTGGGCACACCCGTTGCACGCTTCGTGGCCCAATATGGGAGCTCGACCCAAGGCCTCAGTGGCGGCCCTCGCATGCGGCTTCCCCGACCATGTCGGCACACCCCTTGCACGCTTCGTGGCCCCATGGGGAGCTCCACCTAAGGCTCCAGAGGCCGTCCTCGCATGCGGTTCCCCGCCTATTTCGGCACACCCCTCACACGTTTGGTGACCCCACAGGGAGCTCGACCTAAGACCTCAGTTGCCGTCCTCGCATGCGGCTCCCCGCCCATTCCGGCACATCCCTCAAATGTTTTGTGGCCTCACAGGCAGCTCCGCCTAAGGCCCCAGTGGCAGTCCTCGCATGCGGTTCCCCGCCCATTTGGCCACACCCCTTGCACGCTTCGTCGCCCCCTCGGGAGCTCCACCTAAGGCCCCAGTGGCCGTCCTTGCATGTGGCTCCCCGCCTATTTCGGCACGCCCCTCCCACGTTTCGTGCCCCATGAGGGAGCTCCACCTGAGGCCTCAGTGGTCGTTCTCTCATGCGGTTCCCCGCTCATTTCGGCACACCCGTTGCACGCTTCGTGGCCAAATAGGAAGCTCTACCTAAGGCTCCTGTGGCCGCCCTCGCATGCGGTTTCCTGCCGAGCGTGGCACACCCCCAACACATTTCATGTCCCCACATGGAGCTCAACCGAAGGCGCCAGTGGCCGTCCTCGCGTGCGGCTGCCCTGTCCACTTCGGCACACCCCTGACACGTTTCGTGGCGCCACAGGCAGCTCCACCAACGGCCCCAGTGGCA